GCGGGCAGAATCGGGGACCAGACTTTACCAATTAATCAGGATACGTTTTTACGACTTAAAGCAGATTCGCGTCAACAATAAGGTAATAATCGAAAATGTATCATGCGCTACAGCTTTATAATATACATAATGGGCCTTACAAAATACAGTGTTCTATTTTACCACGGGTATACTTATCTCCTTAAGATAATTAAAAAAAAGTTACCGACCGGCGGTCAATGCATAATTACCGACCGTGATAGGCCCCTGGGGGCACGCAACGCCGCTGCTACTGAGTTTCGGGCCTTAGGACCAGGTCCGCCTGGTGGGGGAGCAACAACATAGGTTGGCGGTGGGGAGAGCCGACCACATAGGCGAGGGGGTGACGTCATAGTGCGGTACGGGGGGACACAGCGCGATGCGCTCTATGACTCATCGGGACAGTGATGGGGGTTTGTTGTGACGGCCAGAAGTGGCTTATAACTACTTCGGTTGTTCAAATGCGTAATACCGAACGTTATCTCGCAGAGTCGTGCGTTGAGAATGCAGTCCCTCATCTTCCGAGGTGTCAAATTACTCGTAGGAGATACGTACGCGTGCGACGTAACTTCGTAGGAGAAGGAGTGATTATAACACCCTTCTATGAAATCTAAAAAAAACTAAATCTACAGTAAGAAATAGATTTTTCAACAATTAACAAAGTCGGCCGTTTGTATGACTATCTTCCGACAAAGAAATTGGCTGAGCTGGAACCCCAGAAAGAATACAAAATCATCAGAATAAGAAGAGTTCAAACCAAATATGGAACGAGACTGATCCTGAATGTAGAAGACAGCTTTTCGACGTTTATAATTGCAAGGATGGCAAAAGCTTTGAATGACGACGAGGATCTATTGAAGAAGATGATGCGAGCCTGTGAGGAGAATCGAGTCCTCGTGCGTTATTTCGGCGGACGGTACAACCAGATCGAATTCCAATGTCTATAAACTTTGTACTCGTGCTTCAACTACTACGTATACGTGTTAAATAAATATACATCTTATTATATCTTATGTCTTTATTCGTAATCAAAAAATATACATTCCGACAACCAGTTCCGTAAAAATTTCACATTTTCAGTTGAGCAATTAAAATGTGGAGTATGATGATTCTTACATCGAGTAAACGAGTTATTGCGCAATTTTTGCAACGAAGGACATCCCAGATCTCCCAGATCCACGATGTGCTCGGATCGTCCAATGAAAGGTTCCAACCAAATTTTCTTCTCCAATCCTTTTACATAGATCTTAGTTGCATTCTGTAAGATGACTCAAAGTATGTTTCTAGCTTGATTGTAAGCAACGTCCCCAGCGCTCCAGGATATACCATGAAAATTGCGCTCCAATTACAAATTTATACTTTTGTATTTAGCCGGTAGATGCTTCCATGGACAAGGTGGTTGAAACAGAAAAGTTGCAGGCTCGGAAAAATTGCTGCCGATTCCAATCACGGGTAGCTCCTTCAGGACGGTCTCGTTCGAGGGTTTCTTGAAACTTTGTACGTCCACGATGAATTCCATTTTTTTTTATGAACTGCGCAGGGATAAACGATTGCGGCGTGTTTATACCAATTTATTCACCCCACCACTGATCGGGTTGTATTCGACTATACGATCGTGCAGGATCAGGCAGAATGCCGATGTATCGGCAGGGAAATTGTCTTGCGCCTCGAATTCCAGACGAATATTGACAGGTCTAAGTTTGAGGGACTCGTTTTGTTTGGAGCAATCGATAACGATCAATGGAGCGTACTCGAGAAATTCATTCTGCCTCAGGAATGGTTCGGGATCCTTGCCATAGTACGTAGGTTGAAAGTTTGCATACATCTCGTACAGCAGAGCAAACTGATTATGATCAATGTCAAGATTCAGATTTCCGTAGGGATAACATTGCGAATTCAAAAAGAGCTTAACGTCTCTGACGTTGCAGTGGTCAAAGTGGCTAGCATTCTTATTTTTCTTATTCTTTCTGCTCGTCTGAAAACCCAGTATCACGTATCGTGGTTTTTCCAACTGAGTCGACGTCTTGACGGTCCATACGTGTTTCGAAGTGGTGGGGAGTAGAGGGTACTCGTACAGCTCCCAGGTACGAAAGCTCACGGAGATGGGTGCATCCCCCTCGATGAATCTCAGCAGTTGTATCTTCCCTCGATCCGACACCTTTACGTACGGTATCAGCCATTCCAATGTATGAATTACGACTTTGCATTCTTCCGGAGCAGTTTGCATTATTGCATTGATATCGCTCTTTGCTCTCGTCAGAATCAACTCGTGTTTAGAGTTAACGACGATCTTGCGATAATCTTCAGCGAAACCCAGTAATTGCATTGATATCGCTCTTTGCTCTCGTCAGAATCAACTCGTGTTTAGCGTTAACGACGATCTTGCGATAATCTTCGGCGAAACCCAGTATCAGACTCAGTGGCATGGATACGTCGAAGTAACCGTCCGCATTGGTCAATTTCTCCCGTTCTCTGACATCGAGACCACCGGCGTTCTCCATCAAGGATCGTTGACCGGGACTCAGGGAAGCATACCCCTTCATGAGACTCGTGAGACCGACATTCTTGTTCCGAACGATCTCTATAGCATTCATTTCGTAGTGAATCTCCTTGAAGAGATGGCGAATGGCATTGTAGACCAGAGTCGTATTCGCAGTCGCTGTGAACCCATCTTCCTTGACCAGCTTTCCATACACGTGCAGCGAACTTTTGCTCGGTAGTAAGCATAGGTCTTGATGTTGAACGGATATTTGAACCTCGTCGCTGTTGTTGAACGTTGATGAGGCGTAAGGTTGATGCGCATGAGTTTCACAGTGTGCTATAGATTCATCGAAGACGATCGGTGTCTGAATGTTCAGCGTTTCTTCCTCCATGGCACGCGGCAGACGAAAATAATACAACAGAACGAACGCTTTACTTTCTTCTCGCCACCTTGAACCCTAGGTTTTCCAAAAATAAACAGTCGACAACTGATCCCTCTTTGGCATATCGGCCTACTGTTATAATCACTGACGATTTTCCTATTGTAGACGATACCCATTATCGCATGGATCTAACGTGCAGCCTGATCGTTATGACTTCTTCTTGAAAATTCACTAGGTCTCTGTCTTGTTCGACTATTCGAAGCTACAGGTGATCTATCGTCTTGGTGGCGATTGGTAGATAAATGACGTGCGATGGCACCTCTATGATCTTGTATCCGGGTGGCACGACCGGAAAGAATTCATGTATGGTGCGCACTTTACGTTTGTTGATGTAAGCGCCCGTCGTGACGTTGCATTCGCCTTGTAGGGCGTTCACCTTGAGAATGGCTACCGGTACGTTGGACGTGTGTAATTTATTAGCTTCCAGAACGCGTTGAGTGAAGCCCAACAAGCAGCCTATGGAATCGTTGGGTCGAAAGTCGACATCCCGGTTGCACTTAATTTCGTTGCACAACGTATTATTGTTAGGTTTAATGTAAAAGACGATGCTCTTGTCCGTCAATGCGCTATGCACGTACTTTTCGATATCTTCGATCTTGTAGCTACCAGTAGGTATAGTGAAAACTTCATCCCCCACGTAGAGCTTGTTGTGATCCGTGTCCATGTTGGGAATCGAGTTGAAGGTCAGCAACTCGATAAGTCCCAGAGCGTAATTTTTGTATGGAGGAGGTGCCTGATAAAGTCAACGTGAATGAATCCTCCACGATTGCGAACGCTCGACTGACCTTGTGAAACTACATAGCAAGTTTATATAGACGATACTTGTTTTTACGATTTAATTGTCCACACAGGAACTTTAGACACAAGTGTCCACATGCAAAAGTATCGTCCTCCTAATATCGCTCGTAATTGTATTTTACACTACGTCTTGTTGTGCCTCTGACTTTCCTTCAATTGCTCCTTGTTTGCATTTGCATCGTTCACGGCTTTGGCTATACCTGCAGCACCACCGGCCAACGCTCCAGCGGCACTGAGCCCACAAACACAGGGACGAAAAACGACAGGAAGCCTCCGACTTTGGACGGCATGGGTAGAACGCGCGGTGCTCGTACGTTGCGCTTTCCACCCGCTCGTTTAACGGCAGCCTATGCACCCTTGAGAGCAGATCTGATAGCTACCCCGGCATCATTGCTAGGAATCATCGATTGTTTGGCTTCTTCGATGACTTTCCTCAGCGTTACAGTTTATGGCTTCTTCTTCTTCTTCTTGAGTCCCATACCGAGTTTCAACTTGGCACCCATTACGTTTGCTACGGACCAGGCCGCCGCCTTCTCGGCGAGACTCGCATCTTTAGCGAAAACGCGCTTCCAAGCTTTGTCTGCCAGTACCCTGTCCGCCCTCTTGTCGTCCCCAATGTCGTGCTCTTTGCAGGCTGCGTCGAGGGGTTTGGTGCCCGGATCGCCTCGCGCTAATCTCTTTGATAGTTTCGTACCGGGCCCACAGTACTGATAACCCGGTATATGTAACTCAACGGGTAGACTGTTAATGATCCTGTTGACTAATCCTCTACGATGATGAGATTTTTTCCTCCCAATGCGTTTATACTTAGGATGCACGACCATGTCCTTGCGGTGAAACAGTTGCGACTGAACGGCGATCTTTATAAACTCGTCATTTGTAGTTTCCACGTTAGTTAAGATTGAGATGAGGTTCGAGAAGCAGTTGGTTCAAAATCGTGCGAGTAAAGGAGAAGAAGGAGGCCAAGCGACACGGCGAATTACTGTCAAATAGTATACGAGCAGTGTTTTTCGGACCATGCAATTGCGGCAAGACGACCGCACTGCTCGCTCTCGTCACTTATCCTAACGAATTAAGATTCGAAACGTCTACGTATACTCAAAATCGCTTGATCAGCCAAAGTATAAGTTTTTAGAAAGTTTACTCGCATCCGTGGACGGCGTCGAGTACTTTCTCTTTACGGAACACGAACAAGTGCTGCTACCGAACGAAGCACGTCCAAATTCGATAATTATTTACAACGACATAGCTTGCGAGAAGCAAGATAACATCAGAGCCTTCTTCAGCATGGGACGGCGCAGGGACGTTGATTGTTTCTATCTATGTCAGACGTACGCTCGCATTCCCAAACATCTGGTACGGGACAATGCTAATCTGCTGGTGCTCTTTAAGCAGGATGAAATGAATCTCAAGCATGTGTACGATGACCATGTAAACACTGATATCATTTACGCACAGTTTAAATAGCTCTGTTCGACATGCTGGAACGGTGATAAGTATGGGTTTCTCGTTATCGACAAGGACAGCGACCTCGACGGAGGTAGATACAGAAAAGGATTCGATTGCTTCGTGAGCATAAATGAGTGATCATTGAAAAAAATGAATGCAATAACGTTTTGGATTCAGCAGCGTCAACATGCAATGCAGAAAACTTCAGGAGTAAAAAGACGTCTTACGCCCAATTGCTAAAGCCAGCGATGCGATTCCCAAAAAGCATAGAATGATAAAATTGGGCAGAGAGAACAGCGAACAGACGATGAGTGAGGTTTTGAAACCGGTAGTGACTCCACTGCAGAAACTAGTGACTGCATCTCAGACGGATCGTAATCTTATCAAAGACGAGATTAGGCATGAAATACAGCCAGACGCAAAAGCGGATGATACGTTTAGAACGGCAGATGAATCCTTCAAGTCTCTAAAGAATGATTCTTTTGAGGGAGTCGATGATGAGCAAGTAGAAGATGAAGACGAAGAAGAAGAAGGTAAACATATTGATGAAGAAGAAGGAGATAACGATGACGCAGACGTACCCGTTGATCAGAACGATTCTATGCAGCGGTATCTTAATATGCTGCTAACGAGGCAGAATAAACAATCGGATACCGCCTATGGTGTGCGTAAAGTCACCAAGAACAAATTGATGATAGGCGATTTGCCTATCAGCTTTGAAGGTGATCGAATCCATGTAGGCGATACGACTTACTTGAAAACTACGGGTTTGATTGAACTCTTGTTTAAGAAAGTACCTGACGAGACTAGTGTAACCCAGGATAACTTTGACAATTATAAAAACATTATTTTAACGACGAATGCACATAGAAAGTACTATAAACCTGATGGTGAAATTCGTAAGAGCAAGAGTTTCAAATTTCATAACGTTATTGCAAAACTGATCGAACAGCCCTCTGTAACGGGTAAAGGTATAGTACCGCGGTACATGATCGCTGCCAAGGACGAACGAACGGATTACGTGTACTGGAACGATCCCAACGAACTGGTAGATCGTTTTCGCCTGCTCCTTGCGTCTTGTGAAGCTGGTAACCCCAGTCACTCGAACGAAATCGTATCGATTATCGAAGAATTGCGCGAGGCGGGTATCATTTATTAATTCGATAAAACGATCGCGATCGTCACTTGGAATATGAGTGTCGACGTGTTTGGACGTCAGTTGAGTAGCAGGGCCGCGGTTACGAGTAGCCGTGGTCTCCCTGGCGCTGGATTCAAATTCACTGCTGCTGGGCACTACGACATTGATAACAAGAAGCTGTGCAACTTCGCCAATCCCGAAGAGGAAAACGAAGGTGTGACCTTGGATCTGGTGAAAACTGTAGTGAAGTAGGAGCAGAATACCGTGTTTCATATGACTGCTGGAATACGCAATGATATAGATAACAACGACTTAATGATTCAATCACTCGGTTCTACCACGAACGAAGCGTTGAAACGTCTGCAAGCTGATATCGAGCCAGGACAAGAATTGGCGATTCGCAACTCTCTGATCATTTCTCAGCTGGACGCCAGACTGAGTGCGCTGGAGAATGGACGGAAAAAAGTCAGCGGTGGTGAAGGAACTGCATAGACCTGCCAGGATAAATTACCAGCGCCGGCACGTTGACGGCCAGACTGAGTGCACTGGAAAATGGATGGAAAAAAGTTAGCGGTGGTGAAGGAATTGCATAGACATGCCAGGAGGAATTATCAGCGCCGACACGTTGACGTTCGCGGGTTGGACGAGAGTTGGGAAGCGGATCTCGTTGACATGTCAGCATACGCAAGAGAGAACGATGGATACAAGTATTTGCTCACCGTCATCGATATATTTTCAAAGTTTGCTTGGGCCGTGCCGACGAAGAGCAAGAACGCTAAAGACGTGACAGCAATTATGAGATCTATACTGGAGCAGGGTCGAATCTCGGAGAAGTTGCATGTTGACCAAAGCCGAGAGTTTTACAATTCCGAATTCAAAGATCTTATGCAATAACACGGTATTACCCTGTACTCGACA